GCCTGTAGCTCACAAATATATCTTTATTACTTATCATCACTTGAGAGTAATGTAAAGAAAATATCACTCTTTTTTCTTGTACATACCAATATGGAACACAATGCTTGACACATGTGCTACTTGAGTCATTTAATTATTTTTTCAATTTATTTAAGACCAGCTAATTTCTAAATAATAACTCAACTCTCAGTTGCTTGGGTCTTCTAAACATCACTCTAATAGAATTTAGACCATTTTCTGGACTTATTTTAACAGAGAAATATTTTTTAAATATATTTTATCATTTTTGTTTTTTGTGTATGGGTGTATTGCCTGTGTGAATGTAAATGCACCTGTGCATGCAATGCCTGCAGAGGTCGGAAGAAGATTTCAGATTCCCTGGAGCTGGAGTTTCAGATGGTTGTTAGCCACCATGTGGGTGCTAGGAATTGAACCTGTGTCCTCTGCTAGAGCAGCCAGTACCCTTAACTGCTAAGCCATTTCTCCAGTCCCCAAGAAATACTTTTTCTAGTAAGTAGCTCTATATTTATATTGATATAATGAACATTAATGCATTAGCAGTATTTGATCCTTATTTCAGTAATGAGTAACTATAAACTAGAACCGTGGACTGGCAAGATGGTTCAGTTGGTTGCTTTCCACACAAGCCTGAACATATGAGTCCAATCTCTGGAACCCACAGAGGAGGAGAGAATCAACTCCTGAAGGCTGTTCTCTGATCACCACATGTGTGCTGTGGCACAATGCCCCCACACTTATGCAATAATAATAAATAAAATAAATATTAAAGCCTTCATATGATCTCGTTCTTAAAATGAGTTTCTGAGTAATTTTATATGTCTAGACTCTTTCATGCACTAACTTCTATCAGTGGATTTTATTTCCCACATATGTTGGGCTTTTTTAAAAATATATTAAATTTTTTTAATTTTAAAATTTATTTATTTTTATTTTATGTGTGCAATCATTTTACTTGCATGTATAAGAGCAGCTAGTGTTCTTAACTGCTGAGCCATCTCTCCAGTCCCAAGTATAAAATACATGGTCACTGGACCTATAGGTACAAGTCTATGATATTTGTGAAGCTGAAGCAAGAAGATCAAGAATCCAGGCCTGCCAATGCCGTGAAGTGAGTTCAAGGACAGCCTGGACAACTCAGTAAGATCCTATCTAAAAAAGTTGTTCTTATTTTTTAAAGGGCTTCAGATATTAATCAGTGGTTGAGTGCTTGCCTAGCATGTGAGTGACCCTCAATTTAATCCCAATATTGAAAACTGAAAATGACTTTGT